AGAGAGAGAGAGAGAGAGAGAGAGAGAGAGAGAGAGAGAGAGAGAGAGAGAGAGAGAGAGAGAGAGGGGGGGGGGAAAACAAGAGTTGGGCGATTAAGATTTATTTAGAGGAAGTGAGGGGAGGGGGAAGGCCAGACTCAGCAAATATAAGAACTTATCCTCCGCGATCTTGGACATAGAGGGGTGAAGTCGAAATGAACAGCCCGTCTGCGGTACCGACGGCATGTCATCAGGTTTCGGAAGACAGAGAGATCTGGAGCTACGGCCGTCTCGGATATATAGAAGCAACCAATAGTGGAAATTTGAAAAAATCCCTTGCCAAGATCCTTCTCTAAAACCTCGCGACCCCTACTCTGCCAACCCGTATTTGGGTACCAGCTAATGGACACAGTGCCTCTACAGTTATGCCCCTTGCAAGAGGCCAGTCCAAAACTCTCGACCCCTTATTTTGTAGCCCCTTCATAACCTCTTCAAAGGTCCAGACAGAATAAAGCTTTCTCGGTTACTAGCTTTGAGCTACAGTGCATGGTCCTAAGTACGCATGGCCTGGCAGACCTAAATAACAATTCTTCTGTTTTTATTTTTTATTTTTATTTTTATTTTTATTTTTATTTTTATTCTTCCAGTTTCCCTTGTCTATTCCGCGAACATCTTCTCCCAACCAATTAGACACTTAACCTTAATGAATGATTGCATTAATATATAAAAAAATAGATAAGCGTGAAATAAGTAATTGGCGGCCTATCTCGGTCGTAAATATATGCTACAAGTTATTGGCAAAAATCCTAGCCCAGCGACTATCCTCAGTGCTCCCAGAGCTGGTGGGACTGGACCAAGGGGCCTTTGTCAAAGTGCGGTCGATTTTTAACAACATCTTAGTTACGATACAAACTTTTGAGATTATTGGCAAAGAAAAGAGGGAAGTTGCCATACTAATGTTGGACATGGAGAAAGTCTATAAATACCTTTTTGATCAACATCATGATGGGGTTTGGGAACCATTTTTGAACTTGGGTCAAAGCCATGTACTCAAACGCTACTGCAACGGTCTTAGTGAATGACCTGCAATCTGAAGAATTTATGCTATCTCGGTCTCTGAGGCAAGGGTGTCCATTGGCTCCCCTTATTTTCGTATTACAATTAGAAATCCTAATAGTGAATATAAGATCAAACCCGAATATTAGAGGATTTCGCGTGTCCCCTACTGTGCAGTGGAGAGGGGGTGCCATTGCAGATGATTTGACAGTAGCCTGCGATAACTCAGTTACTAGCTTTACGGCGTTAAGAAACACCTGAGTCGAGTACTGTTATTTGTCTGAAGCCTCAATATACTAGGATAAGTCTGTATTTTTCCTTCCCCCGCCCTTTGAGATCTGTGTGGATCGGGTATCCAGAGAATCCCAACGAACTCTTCTGACATATTTTTGGGCTTGCAAGTTTCCTTTACAGATTGCTCCAGAGTCCAAGACAACATTTTGGCAGATAGGGTGGTGACACAGATTGTTGGATGGGAACGTCGCTCTCGCCTCTCCCTATTTGGGAGGGCATTGGTGCGATCCACATCAGCCTTCTCAATATTATGGTTTCCTTTGACGATACATGCTCTGAGAGGAGAAGCATACAATTTTTTTATTTTTATTTTTATTTTTTTACACAAAAACAAGCTCCATCTATTGGTGGGGAGCAACACCTGCTGGAAACCGGGTCCACCGTCCCATAGATATAACCAAGGGTGCATCAGCCAGGTATCTATGGAAACTGGAAGCCACAGAGGATTAGGGATTTCTATCCAAGGTTGCCTAGGAGGTGGTGGCCACTCCAAGGAGGAAGGGAGGCCTGGGGATCCTGGACCCTCTACAAGAGAACACAACCCTCTTGGCCAAATGGCCTATACATGCACGATGGAAGCCACGCCCAAGGTCAGAATCGATCTAGCGGAGTATATTCTGGGGACTGAATGGGAACTGCAGGACCATTCCAAAGTTTGGATATGCATGTTGTTGCCGTATTTTTGTGCCCGCAAACCTAGCTCGAAGACCTGGAAGAGCATCATGGGGGCATGAAATAAAGTCAAACCGCGTGACGGTCCCCCCCTTAACTCCAAATAGGAAGTGTTAAACCAAATTCTGTTTGAGAATCCACTGATCTTGAGACCGGAGGGTGACTGTTTCTCGGCTGCGGAGGCTGCGGGCAACTTTGGGCTTAATTGGATAAAGAAAGGAATCTTATAGCTCAAAGACATCTGGGACTCGGATCACTCTTGTTTCCTGGACATATCTCAGGTACGAAGGCGTTTGCCACGGTTGCACAACGTGGTTAAGCACTATTCAGAGCTTACAGAAGCAATCCCAAGGGCCTGGACAACGCTTCTTCACCCGGAGGTAGAGCATGCTGCGGGCACGTGGCTTCAGTCATACGGGTGCCCGGGCCAAATACTGCAGGTCCTGGGCCCGAATTAGCTTCAGGACTCAGAGTTCAGAAATGGACCACACACTGTCAGGCAGGTCCTGCTACTCCAGGCAAGCTCACATTACTAAATAAAGATGAGCACATCAGTAATACGGAAGACATGGTGGAAGTAAGAGTGCATTACCATAATTGTAAAGGGAAGGAGAATGCCACCTTACTGCGGGTCTCAGACAACTTTAGAGTTGAACCACTGTTACTGGGATGGAAGGGACAAGGGAGGTAGGGGGCATTTACTCCCTTGTATTTATACCGCCCGAAAGTGGGAGTCAAACTCCAACAGTCTCGGTTGAAGAAAAAGGTGGTGACCGTGGCGGTGGAGAGGGCAGAAAAACAGCAATTAACGGGTGTTACTGAGAAATGACTCTGTATTTTTTGGAAGGCACTCACGAAATACCCGGTACAGAAGCAGGCCAGCCTCATGTGTTTACAGTCGTTAATGGTGACAGCCACAACAATGTGGATGTCTTCCAGGGGAATGGATGTCCCAACCCTGTGTCTTCGTTGTAATTGGGGATGGGAGAATATGATCCACCTCTGGTTGTACTGCCCGCTAGATGATGAGCTGCTAATGTGGTGGAAGAAACACTGGGTAAACATAACTGGGCAGGAATTTGAATGGTCGGATTTTTGGATGCTCACAGGTCTTCTCCCCGAGGGCATGCATTACACTTCGAATAGGGGCTATGTTGCTCTCTGCTATAGGGGAATATTAATGCAGACTATTTGGGCAAGTCGTGATGCGAGGGTTTTTAGAGGAGAGGAAACCTCATGGACACAACAACAACAACAAATGAAATTAAGCATCAGGAGGATAATCCGAGCTGACTGGCAGAGAAAAAATATTATTTGGTTTCAGCAA